AAAAAGTTGGTTGTGAAACTCAGTTATCTCTAAATTCAAACTAGTGGATGCTCACTCGATGGCTGCCCCGGAGTATCGATTTTAATCCATCGTACGGGAGGGCATAGTATACATGAGGTAAGTATAGGACGAATAAAAAAAGCATGAGACTAAACGACGCGTATCAGGAGACCACGACCGACCGAGAGGGTGACACTGTACTTACGTAGGCGCGGAAAGAGGAGTGACGGAAGGTGTATACCTATTTATGTTCGTCTGCTCGGCAAGGCCATCCCCGAAGCAACTTTATGGCCCATACAGTGTTAATGTACATATACATATACACTTAGGGATCTGCCCATATAAGTGAGTATAGCTCAAAGACCACGGCGACTGTGCGCATCGATTAACATTCATGTATACCCCTGTCTTTCGGTGCTCTCTCGCTTTATCAATCAGCGGGTATTTAAATTTCACAAGCACCATCCTCTCGGGAGATGATCCTGCACGGACGAGTGTGCCGAAGCTTTTAGCCGTGTGAATAAACGCAAAAAAAAAAAAAAAAAATCCACGTTGAAAGTCCGCCTGTGTACGATGCATACAGTTTTAGGGGGCGGGGTGGGGAGAATAAAGAGTAATTATAAGTACGAGCGCCGTAGCTCGCGATTACGAGCTTTTGACTGATACAGCCGATTATATTTGCCGATACGTAAGAAAAAAAGGTCGAAATTTCGTGTGGAAAAATAGTATAAAGAGACCGTGGAAAACAGGTTCCTTCATCAATGAGATAAATAAAAAAAAAAAAAAAGGAAGTCGGAGGAACGCGAGCGAGTGCGTCCCCGTTGAACTGCAGAAATCATATACATCTCTCGAAAAGCCGAAAATTTGACCCGATTACTGGGTATACTTTACGGCGATCGAGCAAAGGGTGGAGGAAGATTCCCGTCTTCCGCTCTGTATGTCGGCGATGCAAGTCAACGCGTACACACGAGAGAGATGATTCGCTTCGAGAACGAGGATGTGATTATGAGCTATACGTGTACGAGTGTGTCGTGCGGTTAATCATCTTCTGTGCACGCGTGTATATATACATGGCAAACCGTATAAGACTCGTAGTGCGCGGCTAATTAACGACGAGTGGAGAAAAAAAAAGGTAATGGAGGTAAGGAGGATACGCTGCCGCTGCTTCTTATTGATTGAGAAATTTTTATTTTATTTTTTTTTTTTTTCGAGACTTCCCAGTTATAATTGTACTCATCGGAGCCTCGATTCCGGGGGTGAGTGTGCACGGTAGTTATGTTCCTTTCGCGGTAATGTTCGGAAGCAAAAAGAAATCAAGAAAAGGAATAATCGTCTCGGCCGAAAATTTTCACACGCAACGGCAAAAGAAAAAAAAAAAAAAACAGGTACGAGGCAAGAGTAATGGCTTATATCGGTGGGTGGGGCGTAGGGCAGGTATAGGATAAAGAGTCATCGAGCCGTGGAGCCGGCAAGATTGCGCACTTGCGCCCGCGGCGCGTCGAGAGCTGCAGACGCAAAATCGAGCCCTCGAAGCACGGAACGGCGGGGGAAGGAGACGAAGAGGTAAAGCGTGGAATAAGGCGAAGGAAGGGAGGGAGGGAGGATAAGGTGAGGGCGAAGACGGGCCCGCGAGGTATATGGAGGCGTAGGTGGGGTCGCCACGGTGCCGTGGTCCGCCTGGGAAAGTTGCGCCGCGGAGGGACCACGCATTGTGATTCCAAGGAGGCCACGCTAGGCTGACCCCGACGCCGTGCCGCTATACATAAGAACCACCGCGCGAGCTGCCAAGGAGGAGGAGGAGGTGGAATGAGAGAAAAGACTTTACATTAGCTACCCAGCCGTGTCGAGCACGCACGCGTTTGATGGTTGTGTGTGCCACATTACATTGTGTACGCCCGCGAGGAATAATACATCGGGGATATTTATGTATACATGTGGATGTGTGTATTATGTTGTACGCGAGTAAGAGAGAGAGAGATGGGGAAAAAAATTGACGTGATATTTTGTTTTTTTAATGAGGCGAAGGTAAAGGAGGGGGGTGGCGAGCGCGAGAGAACGAGTTAATGATCTTCCTCGTGCTCATTTTTGTTGTTGTCTCCCCACTTGCAGTCTGAATTTTTTTTTTGTATTTTTATTTTTAGTCAACTTTAATGTTTTTGCTATCAAGTCATGGATTTCTTTTTTTTTTTTTTTACACCGTGTTAAATCTTTAAATGACTTACGTTAATTTTTTATTTATTTTTTTTTACTAATAAGTCACTCAGTTTCAACCTATTGTAGCCTCGATTAATCTTTCATGAAAAAATTGTAACCACCACCCTAGGGTAACTTGTATCCTTATTAAAAAAAACCAAAACTATTATTCACGGTTTGTTTCACAAATCGCGACGTGACGCGTCCGATTAACGATATGAATTCGCCCGCTTATCTAATTAGATCCAAGGCCCGAGCGCTCGAGCAGAAAAGAATAAAGGAACAGAATTAAAAAAAAAAAAAAACGAGAGAGAGAAAGGGATATAGGCGGATGGCAAGGTATCTATATACATACCCATATACATATAAAAGAAAGAAAGAAAGACGGCGCTTGTGTAATTGAGAGACGGCGCGGGTGAGTTTCCCAAGGTATGCAGCACACCACCGCCGCGGCTATACGGTGCACACACACACTAAGCACGTGTGAGCAGTCTTTTCGTCCTCCCTCCACCCATTCATCCATCTACCCACCCACCTACAACGAGTGCAAGTATCCATACATGTAATACGGCCAAGACGTTGCGCAACGCGAAAATGCCGCTCGCGAGCTCCAAAGAAACACATTATATTATGTGGAAGGGGGTCGTCGCCGTCGTGGGGCTAGTCTCGAAACAAGCCAAAAGTAAATAATACAAGGGGACCGTGATTTTCGGACTTTCCCGCGCTGCTCCCCCTCCTGGGATGTATCTATTGTTGTGGCGTCTTGGGTCACCTATGGGACCCTCGCCCTCAAGACGAGGAGCTTCCGCGTGACAGACAGAGTCCGGCAGGTTATTACACCGGCACAGTGTTACCCTCGTCTCCCTCCCCCCCCCAATACAGTGCATTAGCCTCTATGTTACTTTAATGCTGCTCCGCTGGTCTCGTTTAATTGGAGATCGAGACTGTGTTTAGGTGTATAAAAGAGAAGAAGCCAGACAAGGACAGGGAGGGGGGGGGCATAGGATTCTCTCGAGCGTTGCAAAGGAGGCGGTCTTTGTGCAGCGTGTAAGTATATGTGTATGGGATATGGACGTTTGGCCACTCGTGAAATTGACGTACACCGTGTACTGTATTTACTATGTCTGTAGGTGGTGGTTGGAGTCGTACTCGCAGTACTTAACACACGTATAGATTTAGTTTGACCTTTTTTTTTTTTTTTTAAGGAGGGAGGCTTGTTTTGATTTCGGCCGGTGTGTGGGAATTTTTATCGTGAAGTCGGTGGCTCTGCTTGGATAACTCTTTGTACGCTTCGAGTGTTTGTTTTGACATCGGTTTGACTCGTACAAAGGGTTATAAGTTTTTGGATGAGCCACGACTGTCTGGATCTTTACGGAAGCTGACGAATGAAAATATTTTTTCAAGAAATTCCCAATTGAAAAATTTTTATGGGGTTTATCGCAGCTCATCTGTATTGTTTTTTTTTTTTTTTGTTTATTATCGTGAGCCTTAGTGTTTCACACTGGATTTATAATCAAGTTTCCTGACTTAAGGTTTTCCTCCAACTATGGTTTCTACGCGTGACAAGTTTCGTACGTATAGTTTTTGAGCATGACTTGTGCGAGTATAGAATATCTACCTTCAGAACCTACAACTAGGAGGTAGGGTTGTTGTTTTTGCACAAAATTTTAGTTTTCCCATAAAACTAATATTGAGGGGAAAAAAACTACTCGACAGGTCCAAATGAAAAGCATCACCCTGAAATCGTGAATTATAATTATTTATTGAATCAATCAAGAAAAACATCCCTCATAATTGCGACTCGCTAATGACAATTTAAGGCGTCAATTTTCGTTGTGGCATTTAAAAAAATCTTTCATTCGTACGTTGAATAGACGTATCGCGCAGTGGTCAAGCGAAATATAACAACTCTCGATTAACTTTCGCGCTTTTCCCGCATGGCATACACGTATATGAGGCACGGGTGTGCGAGTGTCCATCCATGGGTTCCCCTACATTCTTTCATTTCCTTTAATCTTCGCCGACGCCCTCGTTTCCTACAAGAGGACACACAAAGCCGCACAATCAACGACAGGGAGAGAGACACGACCTACTCGACTTTTATTCGAAAGACGGTTCTCGTTTACGGCCGTCTCCTCTCTTGCACTGATGTGCCTATTTTGCTCTCGACTCGACGAGAGAAGCCCTCGCTCTACGTGTAATATACCCGGTGGTTTCGTGAGTAACACATTACGTACGGCGCTACACGAGACGTGTATACCGTGAAACCGGCAAACGTACGAGTTCAAGCTACAAAACAATTATCCGCTTCTTATATCCATGGGTGCATAATTAAACGTCCCCTGTGACCATTTCATCGAGCGGAACAAAACAAGTTGTTGCGAGTTGTTGGCCAAAGAGCGAAATGACGACGTTTCATTGTGCGGCTTTCACGATCGGTATTTTCGAAGCTTATGGAGTTCCGTTTCTCCGTTTTCTTGGGTACACTGTGGGGAATTCTTTGGTCAAAGGTTCGCATAGTTTTCCCCCCATTGTCACGTCTTTTGTTTTTTCTCGTTCCTCAAATCTCTCCGGGAAATCCTGTTTGTGTGCGTGCACGCAAGTGTGTAGGTGTGCTTACGGAGGGAAGACAAACAGAGTGACTTTCGAAAGACATTGGGTCGTCCGAAGGAAAACTATTGGGTTGTTTCGTTTAGCTGTGCGAAATTTTCCACGAATACGTCGTTCGTTCGTTCGATTTTATGAGACCAAGGTAAATATGTATGAGGTGAAGGAAAAAAAATAAATAAAAATAAAAAGTAACTCACCTTCTGGACATGAGCATTTGAAGGTCAAGTTGTCGATCTCGTGGCAGACGCCGCCGTTTTGACACGGCGACGGACTGCAGGGTATGTACTCGCTTTCGCAATTTTGGCCGGTGAATCCGCTGTTGCACATGCATCTGGAAAGAAAATTGGGCCATTATAGAGGGAATCACTGTGCAGGCACGTGAAAGAATAAATCGTGAATCTTACGACTTGAGCTTGATTTGGGGATTGTTAAAATATGGTTTTGTTTGGGTACGACATAATTTTACATTACTAAAGAAAAAAAAAAAATTTGCTCAGCGAAAAGCCACGTTCTCCCGTCTTTGTAGTGAAAGCAAAGCTACGATAAACTGCCTATTATGATACAATACCTCAAATATCCACCGTAAGGTTTCGGCGAATGGAAAAAAAAAAAAAAACTAAAAGCTGATAGAGGAGAACCAAACGACGCAGTGCACGAGTAGGGGGTGTGTTATCGCTCGCTTTCCGAGGCAAAGAGGAGACTACTGCTACTATACTGGCGTTTATAGTGTCTCGCATTACTCGGAGACAGCACACACGCGCGGCGTTGGATTACGCAGAGAAGGACGACGACGACAGCGTTGGTACGAGGAGTTTCGAGTGATTGCCGATTGCGTGGTCGATGTGCGCTTGATTTTCATTTATTCAGACACCGACGTTTCAGTGAATTGTGGGTATGAACCAATAACCAAGAGGGTCTCACGGCATCTTCTTAGATACGCAAAAGGAAATTTTAATCGTTTTCCAGTAGCTCATCATTGCTCCGAGTGTCATGCTTCAAAGGAGTGATTGAATGAGTATTTTTTCTGTCAACGCCTACTTTGTTTTGTATATTGGAAATATTAAGAACACAACGGCATATACACCATATTTTTGTGTGGTAGTAAAAAAAAAAATAATGTACTAATGTTACCAATCGATCTGATTTCGTCAGATATGCTACACTACACCAAGAGATCAATCGTTGCGTTGCGTATGATCACAAAAAACGAGAAACCGTAAACAAGTAAATTAAAAAAAAAAAAAGCACAAACACAATGCGACTGGATACATTTTTACACAATTTGCGTCACGCCACTTATACTTGCGAGCCGTTTAAATCACATGCGATATCGGCAATAATACAGCAATGTGTAAACGCGTGAAAAGGACATTGGAAGTATCATTTTTCTCGATATCGTCACATCGTCATCATTTCAAAAAGTAAGAAATAACAAAGCTTGATTAACCACGAGTTTTTCGTTCCCACAGGTTTCAGTTTGATGTTCACACGATGAGGTCACATATGAGAAAATATCGATGAATTATATATAGATGGCCCTAAACGTTTTTTAAAATTGAAAAGTCATAATTAACAGAATACTGTTTCTCTTTGATACCGTTTTCGTATTATGATGGAACATTTGTCAATGGGTAACATTTTTCTATAAGATACGGATCAATGACAACTGACTTTTATGATTGATATCAATCGCGATCAAATATGATTTTCTAGACATTGAATCCAAGTGCATTTGATGACGTCCCACGTAAAAATTTTTACGTTTGGCCAAACTTGCGCAAAAGTTCATGTGGTCAACGTTTGGCCAAACTTTGGCTAAGCTTGGGAAATGAGAAAATTCCAAACTTGGATTTTCGTTGGAATATTTTACTCAATATTTTTCGTAAGTCATATATGCAGACCAACTAATATCCTGACGCAAAAAATTAATTTTTTAGACGTTTGGATGAACATTTGCTAAACTTGAGTCAAATATTCCAACAAAAATCCAAGTTTGGGATTTTCTCATTGCCCAAGCTTGGCCAAACGTTGACCACATGAACTTTTGCGCAAGTTTGGCCAAACTTAAAAATTTTTACGCAGGGTTTGATGGGATTATTCGTGTAATTTTAAAGGTATAAAGCATAGAAATATTACATCAAATAGAGACAACATGTAAATTACAGTTATGTAAAATTTTATGTGGTTATTCGAATTTTTGCACTAAAAAGTATTTTAAATGAAAATGACCAATGAACAAATAATAAAAATAATCTCCAAGAATTACACAATTTCGTTAAAAAGTATTTCTGTAATACATTCAACACCCTTGCATCACATGCATGTTATTGTTTCAAGCGAGTTCTCGGTTTCAAGTCTATGACGAAAAAAAACTGGTCTAGCAAATGATCTTTTTTACCATACGCACGTTGGAATCGCGTAAAAATTTGAGTACCAGATGGTTTGTCAGATAAAAAAAATAATAAACAACCGACATCTGGTGCACTACTCCCATCAGGTCTTGTTTAAGCTCGAGGTAAAAAAAAAAAAAAAAAAAAAATATATAAAGGGAGATGGGGGTGTAATATGGGGGTTCGCACCTCGTGCCAGCAGCGAGCAGTAAAAGCAGAATCACGCGCGTGAGAATTCTGGTCGTCGTCGACGTTGTCGTCGTTATCGTCATCATGATGATGATGTGGTCGTGCCTGGCTGACGCTCAGCGAGAAGATATTCCTCATATTTCGCCGAGCATATTTTTCCCCATCCGTCGAGGGCCCAGGCTCTTTCTCTCGGACACTGTTATATATACACGCGTTTTCACGCAATTTTCATTCTTATCCCACAAATGTATGTAATCCGTACATCCAACACTTATTTCGTACCTGTAGGCACGATTTCTCCGACACTCGATATATTTATATTTTTCTCCTAGCGAGCACACTATATACTACTTATTAAATATTTTTTTCCTTTTTTTTTATCACACACTAGAATTGGTACTTTGATATTATCATTACTATGTACTACTTCAACTTTTTTTTTTCTTCTTTTTTAGCACTTTATACACGCGCGATTGCACCACTATACCTGTAAACGCTATTTCTTATCCTGTTTTGCACACAACTGACTATATTCCAAAGAACTTATTATTTGTACAAATTTGTGATATTATTTTTCTTCTTTCTTGTCAAACTCACGTTCACAATTATATATTTATTGCACTCAACAACAACAACAACAACAACAACAAACAACAATAACAACAAGAAGTATGGATCATCAACAGCAGCAGCAACCAAAAATTTTTTCCAAAACACTTTCACGTCCTACAGTATCCCTTGTCGATTTTTCTTCCTCGTTCCCAAAACTCACGGGGTAGTGCATAGACATACACACTCACCGACAAATCAACAATTTATCAGACTCCTTTGCACTGGAGAAACAAAAAAAAAAAAAAAAGGCCAACTCGTGGCGGTGCGGTGAATAATCACGTCCACGAAAAGTTATCCCCGAAAACTCTCGGTCTCAAGTCTCAGCCTCCGCTCGGAAAAACACGAGAGAGCCAGGCCCAGAGCAAACACGCACGGCCGACGAGATGGCGTCGGGCCGCCGGGGTCCTTCAAAAGTCCACAGCGCGCCTTTCTCTCCTCTCCTCCTCCACGAGATCTCGAGCGCCGCTGCTCTCCAAAGCCGGTTTTTCCTCCTCGAAAAAAAAGGGGAACGCGCTTTTCTACTTGTGCTCCACCCAAGGTGCACACGAGGGGGTAGTTTCTACCCTGTGTTTCGGACCGCAGGTACCGGGGCAATCTTATCCATGACGGCCGATGGTGCGGCGCGCCGCGACAACCACGACTGCCGGGCGTTGCCGTCGACGATCCTCGACATGAGCGACCTGCTCCGATTTCCCGAGCATAACGGTGTGTTCCTCGATTGCCAAGTACCGATCACCTCGTGCGCTTCATCACGGATTAACAACAGATCGGTCGAACTGCACAGCACCGCGCGACACTCAAAGGTACGATCCGATGGCACTTTTCCGGGAGAGGGAAAAAGTGGGTAAAATCCACAGATTGACGGGTCCAGCGAGCCAACACCAGACGAAGGCGCGGAGAACGTCGTCGTGCCTGGACAGATGCAGGGGAGCTCGCGCAGCGAGAGCCAGAGAGAAAGCCTCCTCGTATATTACACAAGGTATTCTGCACGGGGCTCGTGGCGGCTAACGATCGCTCGATCGGGCATGCGTCTCGTCCCCGGACGGCTGGCCGACTGACTATGGAGAACGGGACGGGGCTCCCGCGACCTAGCCTTCCTTACTCGCAGATGGAGCCTCTATAGGTGGTATGTGTGTATATAATACCAAAGGACCATGGGGAGAGAGAGGGACCCCAACAGACGACGGGCACACATATACAAGCGGCGGGGGCCCGTTCTACGTGTGTGTGTGTGCGCGCCTGTCGCGCTCTCTCGAGCACACACCGAGAGCCCGTCCCCTTCCCACGCCCGTGCTCGACAACCTGTATATATATATGTGTATGTATATATTTCCCACTCTCTCGTGTATATATATATATATTATCCATGGGTTCTCTTCTCTCGGTCCTGCTCTTTCTCGCGGGGGACTCACCATACGGGGCACCCTACGAGACTATACTCTTCTGGCTGACTCTCGTGCCGTGCCCGTGTGCAGGAGGCTTTAAACGACGGCACGGAGAGTATAGTTGGTCTCTTCTCTTCGCCCCTTCGGTGGACTCGTTGCGGTGCAGATCGGAGCCTGATGCTCTCTCTCTTTCTCTGCAGTTGATGCTGCTTGCCGATGCCTCTCGTGCACACATACGATCTTTCTTTCGGAGCTTGTCCCCTACTCGTGTATATATATATATATATATATATATATATATGAGGGTATTCGTTCCTCCTCCTTCTTCTTCCTCTTCTCGCCGAGAGAGGCCTGAATTTTGAGATCGCGTTCTTCTCCGCGCGCATGCATTATAACATATATACACTATGTATACTTATTATACATGTGTAGTCCGAGGTGTGTGTGCGCTTATTTGGACTCTCTCATCTTCTTCTTCTTCTCCTTTTACATGTATATTTATATGTAGGTATAGGCTTTTTGATTCATCCTCGATGACGCGCCGGCGAGGCCGATCGCGACGACGTTTTCTTGGAACCTCTTTCGAGTCCGCGGTTTTTTTACCTTCTCCGTCCTCCCTTTCGTTCTTCCATGCAATGAAAGGATGGAGTTTTTTTTTTTTTTTTTTCAATTCTTTATTTCCACGTGGTTCCTCTGCTTTTCCTCCCTCTACGCGAGATCATCGCTGAAATTCACTGTAAGTCGATGTGAGCGAT